TGGACTTTTTACAGAATCAATCACAACCAAAGGCCGCGGGTCTTGTAGGATTCGTCGAGAGTTTCTATTGGATAAATTATAAGCCTAATTTGAAATAACAGAGTAGAAGTTACGGTCAAAACTTCGAGCAGCGAGTTAGGCGAGTAGGCAGCTTCGGGGCGAACTAGGCAGATTTTTTTTTTTTTTAAACTTTGAGAGGCCAAAACATCTGTTTTTAGGCCTTTTTTGGGAATTTTTACACAATCAAAAACAACCAAAGGGTGTGAGTCTTGTAGGGCTCGTCAAAAGCTTCGATTTGATATATAATAAGCCCCTATTTGAAGTTACAGAGTAAAATTTATGGTCAAAACTTCGAGCAGGCAACTAGGCGCTCGTTTTGGGCGAGTAGGTAATGTTCTGGGCAAGCTTTGGGGCTGCCTTAGGTGACCTAGGGGTGTAGCCTGGGCACCGACAGGGGTTGCCTGGGCGCGAGCCTGGGCATCAAGAGCTGAAGATACAGCCTGAGATGTCTAGGCAACAGGAAATGGAGGTGGAGCCTGAGATGCCTGGGCATCAAGAGCTAGAGGTACAACCTGGGATGTTTGGGCATCAGGAGATGGAGGTGCAGCCTGGAATGCCTGGGCATTAGGAGATGGAGGTACAACTTGGGATGTTTGGGCATCAAGAGCTAGAGGTGCAGCCTGGGATGACTGGGCATCAGGAGCTGGTGATACCACTTTAGGCGCTGGCCAGGCATTGGGCTGCCCCGTTTGGGCGAGCAAAGGTGGTCAGACACCTCTCCAAGTGCTGCTGCCTCGTTTGGGCGAGCAAAGGTGGTCAGACACCTCTCCAAGTGCTGGACTGCCTCGTTTGGAGAGCACATATGATCAAGCGTCTCTCAAGGTGTAGAGCTACCTCGTTTGGGCGAGTAAAGAGCGTCAGATACCCCTCCAAGTGCTGGGCTGCCTCGTTTGGGCGAGCACATAGGATTAGACACTTCTCCAAGTGCTGGGCTGCCTTGTTTGGGAAGCATATAGGATCAGGCGTCTCTCCAGGTGCTGGATTGCCTCGTTTAGGCGAGTAAAGAGCGTTAGGCACCCCTTTAGGTGCTAGGCTACCTCGTTCGGACGAGCACATAGGATCAGACACCTCTATAGGTGCTGGGCTGTCTCATTTAGGGAGCATATAAGACCAGGCACCTTTGGAGGCTGGTTGTGATAACAAAAATAATGTTATTCCAAATATTAAAATATCTCACATAATTACCTGTAAAGGAGAGGTAGGCTGCTTGCGCGAGAACAAAGACAGAGTTAAAAAACTGCTCGTGAGAGAGCTACACCTTTTGAGACCTAGCTTTTGGCGACCCATGAGAGGGTCTTTAAGCTTGAGGTATAGGTTGCCTGTTTGAGAACAACGCAGAAGTCATGCTTTTGGCGACCCGTGAAAGAGCCACTCAGCTGGAGATATAGGGTGCCTGATTAAGAACAGTGCAGAGGCCAAGCTTTTGGCGACTCCCGTGAGATAGTCGTTATGCTGGATATTGAGACTACCTGTTTAGGAACAATGCAGAAACCAATCTTTTGGCGATCCGCAAGAGAGTCGCTAAGCTTGATATTGAGGCTACCTGTTTGAGAACAGCGTAGATGCCCAGCTTTTGGCGACCCGTAAGAGAGTTGCTACGCTGAATATTGAGGCTGCTTATGTTGAGAACAGTGCAGTGGCAGGCCAAGCTTTTGGCTACCCGTGAGAGAGTTGCTAAGCTGGATACTGAGGCTGCCTGTTTGAGAACAGTATAGAGGCAGGTCAAGCTTTTGGAGATCCGCAAGATGATTCATCTCGCCTAGACCTTTTGATTTCCTTAACATTCATATATTTTTGAGCTTTTACCAATAGTTTTGACATGCTCTTTAGGGGTCGCATCATTACTGAAAAAATGAATCTGGATGAGTGGAAGACTCAAAGAAAGGTGGTTATGGTGACTTTGTCATTGGGCTCCTCGATTTGGAAGATCTTCTCGTTAAAACGAGTGAGGTAACTCTTCAAACTCTTGTCTCAATCCTATTTTTATGTTGAGCAGATGGGTAGCAGGCTTTTGTTAGCGGCGTCCACCAATGAACTGTGCCACAAATGATCTACTCAATTCGGCGAATGAGCCTATGGAGGTCGGGGTGAGTTTGGCGAACCATTGTCGCGTTGATCCCTTTAAGGTAGTTGGAAATGTCCTGCACATAATTTCGTCGGGGACATTGTGCAGTTGCATTAAGGACTTGTAGGTTTCGAGATGATCAAGTGGATCTTTTGTTCCATCAAAGGTATCCACGGATGATATTTTGAACTATTGAGGAAGGGGGTAATTCGCCATGTCAGGTTTGAAAGGCGTGTTTGTCAACCTTACGAGGTAGTCCACTGTCTCGGGTCCCTACGCTTTCATGGCATTGAAGATGTCACCTAGTTAATTTTGCACTTCCTTAATTTTCTCGTCCCAATGATTTGGGGCTCCTCTAGAATGTTCATGGAAATGACTCTCATGCTCCATGCTTTGGTTTTCGCCCTCATTTTCTTGGAGATGAGGGTCTTCACCATGGGAAACAGGAGGAGGTGGAGGTCCCTCATGATGGGCTCCTCTGTGTGGGGCGTCCAAGGGGACTCTAAAGGGGGTGCCCAGACCTACATGGGGAGCAGCAAGTTGTGGAGCTCTTAGATGTCCAGGGCGTGGAGCTCTTCGATGTCTAGGGCGCGGAACTCCTTGATATCCAAGGCATGAAGCTCCTTGATGTTCAGGGCATGGAGCTTCTTGATGTCCAGGACGTGGAGCTCCTTGAGGTCCAAGGCATGGAGCTCCTTTGGGTCCTCCACGCTGTGCACCTCTAAGTTATGCTCCTCCGGAGCTCCTTAAGGTCCAAGGCGTGGAGCTCCTTGGGGTCCTCCACGCTGTGCACCTCCAAATTGTGCTCTTCCTTGTTCAGCAAGCATGAGTTGCAGTATCTGTTGATTTTGGGCTACTAGCTGCCGCATGGTCTCCAGTATTTATTGTGAATTTGGAGCTGGAGCATTTGGGACAGAGTTGGTAGGTGAAGGAGTAACCTCCTCCTCTCGTGGAGGATTGTCTTCAGGTTGGTTCATAGATCTGGTAGTGATCGCCATTGGTTCAACAAATGAAATGTTTAGAAGTGAGAATTTTGTCGTTTGCCATAGACAACGTCAAACTGATGATGCACAAAATAGTTTTGCATACCACCTGTCAAGTGTGAATAATAAATGTAAGAGTAAAGTAAGGAGATGGAGAGACACAAACAATTTATAGTGGTTCGGTTAACTCGATCTACGTCCACTCTTGAATGACTCTAGTTGCCGGGTACTTTATTAACTCAAGGGAGTGAAGAGTAGAGAGTACAAGTTTTGAGAGAAAAAGATAAAGTCGTGTTCAAGTTAAGTGTGATCTGCCCTTCAAGTGTTGGTGGGGCTTACAATTTATAGTCGCCCTCCTAACAGATTTAGGCAAGATATTAGTAAGTAGTTGACTAATTTGTTGGATCTGGCGAGCTCTTCTCAACTTGCTAGGCAGTTGCGGTGCTCTCCATGAGATTTGGTCAAAGGACGAGGTGGGGTGTTGACCATCTCCAGGGCAGCGAGGATAAGACTTTGAATGACCTTAGTTGCTCCCTTAGCTCTTTGAGCTGCTGAGCTTGATCGGACTGACCACATTGATGAGCTTAATCGAGTTAGCCACACTAGGCTGGATTCGCTGAATCTCTTGGAGTCGGACTATAAACTTTAACTAGACTTATAAAATGAGTTGAGCCTTTGGGGTTGACCTATCAACAATCATCACCGTCTCTCACTACCACCACTCGTTCCCACTATAACTTGTGAGTAAATTACTCTCTCTTTTTTAATTTTTTAATTTAATTTTAAGTGTGAATATATATATATATATGCTTATTGTTAATTATTTTTTTTATTATACTATACTTTTATGCACAAAAAAATAATTAGTGATATTATAACTAATAATTACGTGATATTACTATTATATCTAATATTTACCCGGTCCGAAAGGAGTTGGGGCTTATGGATGCTTTGAAGACTCCAATGATTAAGAATGGGAATATTGGTTCCACCACAAAGACCTGTCGGCCGAGTGTAAGGCCCACGTGGTTTGTCTAATACCGCAATACATAAATAGCTGTTGCGTTCCGTGTTTATCACTGCTTTGTCGAAGAAGAAAAGGCAGAAGTTTTAAAACGATGATTGATCTAGTCCCACAATCCCATCCCCACCAAAACCAACGAATACTTTAGGACCTGTTTGTTACGAGGGTTTGGGTGGGTATATACAGATGGGTTTAACAAAAATAGTCCAATGGCTTATCCCATGTTTGGATGCAGGCTTAAGGCCCAGTATTTAAATCACGGCCCGTAACCCACAGACCCCTAAAACCCATGAACATGGGTTTCACCAAACCCAGGGGGGAGGTGGGTTTAAAACCAGTCCAACCCGCATATGATGGTTAAAAGACATTTATATCCCTAATAAAATCTCATATTTACCCAAAGGATCTTGGGAGCCAGGCGCTCGACCTCCACCACCATCCATCGGCGACTCTGGACAGAAGACTGGAAAAGACGAAGCCGCCTGCTGTGATTCTCTGCGTTGGATAGAAAGAAGTGGCTATGGATGCAAGATTCGTCGCTCCTATCAACCCACTCGACTGTGTATGAAGTGGAATGGGCTCCAGTTCATGGCTATATAAAACCCTAGCATCATCTTCAACAGCCCAACCAGATCTTGGCGAGGTAAGGAACAGCTATCCATTTTTGCCTTCAATTTGCTAGATTTGGGTTGGAGGATTAAAAACTTCAACTCAAATATAAAAAAATTTGGGTTGAACTCGAGTTAGGTTCGGGTTAACCCGCTCAACAGCCCCAAGTAAATTCCACTACACGACGCCACTAACTTGCCATAACCCGTGAGACCGCCTCATTTACTGGCCATTCCGGTTCCTTCATCTCTTTACCCGAAATCTCAGTATATAAAAGCCTTCTCTCTCTCCCTCTCTGTCTCTCTCTCTCTCTCCAATTCCCTTGACAGTTATCTTCGAGCAATCTCACCGTGACCTTGGGTATCGTCTCCGATCTCTCTGTCTCATAATTTCTGTAAGTGTTTGATAATTTCCAATTTTTTAGCAATTTAATTTTGATGAACTGAATGATCTGATTCTTAAGCTTTTGACCTTAATCGGTGCTTAGTTTATTTCAATTGATTCGGTATGATTATAGGTTTCTTGGAACTCTATGTTTATAAATACGTCTATTTGTATGTGTATGTGTTGCTGTAGGATTTTTACTTTTTAGGGTCTGTGTGTTTTGTTTGAAATTGATTCGTATGTATGATGTTTATGTGATATTGGTGTATCGTTTGTGTTTGTTTGTTGTAGGTTTTGGTAAAATTTTAATCATTTTATTTTTTGAAGTGACTTTTAGTTTTTGGAAATGGTTTGGAGAACTATTGGTCTGCTTTTCGAAGTGTCTGGACCAGGGAGAGATGATCGTTTGATGTAGTTGATGTTTCTTTGGGTTCTTAGCAAATAGATAAAAAGTAGGATCGAGATTCTGGATTTTATGTTTTCTGTTTTATTGGTTGGTAGGAAGTGGAAAACACTGCGTAGTTTGTGCTCATTTGAGCGGAAATTTTTGTTTACCAAGGTTCATGGAACTCTGAAAAGATTTTACGGTTTTCTTGGTAGATGGATTCTTCGAGATATCTTTGTGATACATATTGTTTTTGTTTCGGATTTGGAAACTATTAAATTTTAATTCATTGATTGGTATAGTTTTATTTGTAAGGGTTGCAATTTCGTTGTTGGCCCATGGATGAAAATATTGATTTTCTTTGTAATATGTAGCATTAGTATATGGCTTGAACAATAGAATTCTTATTTACTTGGATTTATGTCATGTAAGGGTTTTAAATTAAAGCAATCAATTGGATGCATACTGTCACAGGAAGATTTATCTTATACTTTTTAGGTTCATATATTTCAATTGAATAATACGAAACAGTTCATGGAAAAGTTTAACTGGATATCATATTTCATCTGTGGCATCATTTTGCTATGTGCATATGTTAACGAGTGGTGTGGTGGAAGTTTATCTTTTGTTAGCCACTTATCTATGATTTCGTATTCAATATTTATTTTGTTTTTCCTTAAGAAATTTGTCCCCTGGAAGTGGAAGCAGTTGGTATAATTCAGGCAGATCATTGGACAATGTTCAGAAATTTTGTTTATAAAATTTGTTCATTTGTAGAACTAGTGAGATTCATGCTGCTTATTCTTGTGCATTATGTTTTCGGAGAATTGCGTTATTTATACCTAGTTTTGCTCAAAAGCGTTTAATGTTTGCTTCTTTGACACTTTTTCCTTAATTTTTGTGTTTCCTTGGGAATGTGGAATCTGATAAAGTTTGAACTGGAAGACCGAAGATGGCAGATAATGAAGATAGAGAGGAAATTACTTCCCGTGGAAACGAGTGGGAAGTTGTATCACTCACAGCATCAACATATGCTGCTGCTCCTGGTCCAAAACAGAATGACGATGAAAAGGATACTGCTGTTGGAGAGAATGAATCAGAAACTTCTCATGCTATGGTTATGTCTGGCCATTTTATCTTTCCACCACGTCAGCGTGAAGGTTTGCCATTGGAACCTGAAAATACTGAGGTTCATAGGGAACAAGGAGTTGAAGATCCTGTTTCTGAAATGATCGCAGAGGAAGGGGGTATTTCAAATACAAAGGAAGAAGAAAATTGGAATTTTAAAGGATTGGCCGAGTCAGATGATTTTTCTGGAATTCAGTTTTTTGATGAAAAGGGTACTAAGTTATCCATTAGTGGTACTGAATTTGAAGAAGGCACAACTTTAGAGGGATTAAATTTGGTGGAAAAAGAGCAGAGCATTTACAGTGCTGCCACGTTTAGTTCCTTCCACAGTGAAGCAGCCATTGGTGAATCGACCATGGTTGAGGAGAACGTTGGAATTGCTGAACCAATGGACTCTTCAGACTCTGACGTAGATTCAGACATCTCACATTTTCCGAAGAATAGTGACGAAGATAAATATGATGGATCTGACCTACCTTGCAAAGCTTGGTGGAAGAGGCAAGCTTCTTCTTTATATGCTCATGCTAAAGAGGCAAACACATTTTGGTCAATTTTCGTTGCGGCAGCTGTGATGGGCCTTGTAGTTCTTGGGCAGCAATGGCAGCAGGAAAGATGGCAGATTTTGCAACTGAAGTGGCAGTTCCGCATCAATGAAGAGGTATGGTGTTGCTAATGGTGTAGAAAAAAATGAATTATTTCAGTGCTAGTATATTTTAATGGCTCTTTATGCATACTACTTTAGTCATCTACGATGTACAGATTTTATGTGCGTCCTTTAGCACCAACAAAGTGCGGGCACTGACAAAGTTAAGGGGCTGTAATAAGGCAAACTCTGACAAGGTTTGCCATATTGCCTGGACTGTAAGTTCATGGGTTGTCCGGAACTGTGGCAATAACCATGGAAAATAACAAGACTGGTTTGGGGGATTTGGGTTATAAGGATTGAATCGAACCAGAGTGATTAAGCCATGTTAAATAGAGTTAGTAAAAGAGTAATTTGCAGATCTGGACTCAAAGTATAAAATTCTAACTGCTATCAGAAGAAGAAGAGCATTCTTGATCCAAAATCCCTTAATTGCCTTTTCTGTGGTCCTATGCTCCACATGAGATGCTCTTTCAAGTAGTCATTATTGTAGGTATATGAACTTAGAGAATTGTATTTAAGTTTTTATTACTTTCTTTGTGTGCCTTTCGTGAGCTAGTTTCATAAGGTTTTTGTTCTTCAACTTGGGGAGATACTTATTTATTTTAATTTAGTGATCTACAGATTCTTTGTGAATCCTTATTTTTATAATGCTCCCCATACTAAACAACTAGCAATTATTGGACGTTTGATTGGACATTTGGGTATTTTACGGTTAGCAAGAATTTTTTGGATTACGCAAGGTGTACTTTCATCTTTTGATCTAGCCTATTTGTGTTCCCTAGCATATATAAACATTAGGCTTGGATATGGGTGTCATTATGGAACTGAAGGTAGTTCAGGCTTTTTGTAGACAATCATTCATACCTTTCTTATCTCGTGTAGGAGGGTTAAATGTGATGTCACAATGTTGTGAGAGCTTAGAGGGACATAGAAAAGGCCTGATGGTTTTTATGCTTGCTCTTGTAGCATAATTTCTTCCACGCAATGATTGGGACAAATAATGCTCTTCTACTTGATTGGAATTTTTTTCCATATAGGTCGATTGGAAACTGAAGTTGGAAATAACATAGTAGACGTGTTTTGGTTTGAAGACGTTCATCCTTGATGTAAGCAGCCTGGTCTGATGATTTGTTTGTGATGTACAAACCCCTATTGTTGTTTGGAATAATTTGTGTCAGGTCTTGATTGGTCTTTATTATTTGAATGCCAATATGCGTAGTTAGGGATATGCTATTTACCTTGAAGAGATCTAAAGATGAATTCAAACACAGTTTTAGTAGCTCACTAAAAAAGCTCATTGAACATGACACGTCTCCATCTCTCTATCTATACATATACCTATCTTCTTCTTTTTTTGGTAAATGATATATCTGTCTTCATTAAAGCACAAAGATGTTAAGGATACCTGTGTGGCCATATTCCTGCTTTGGGTGGAACTGTTTGGAAATTCACTGGACTTCTGGACTCTGGAGTAATAAATTTGGGTGATAAAGGGACATTGTGAAAGTAGCACCAACTAAACCAAATCAAGCTTTATGTCCCAGTCATTTGGGGTCGGCACATTGGGAGAGTAGTGCTTTCAATTTTATCTTACAATGTGAATAAATGTATTCATGCAATTTCACTGAATGCCCATAATTCCCATTTTGTGTAGAACTATAGGATATTCATTGGACTTGCAGAATGATTCATTGGGTGAGAAATGGCAACCATCAATGAGATTGTGAAAGTAGTGTTTTGAGTCTAATCCATACATACCGGAATTGTAGATACCCCTAGCGTCCTACAAATTGGGGTCACACCAACCAAAGAGAGTGGGTTTGCGATCCAAACCCAATTTATAATCCAAACAGTAAATTGACTCGTGATCTAAGTAATTCCACATCATAACTTCAACCCCAGATCGTAACCTTAACTTGTTATTTTTTCATTTTGATGTTCGGTAAACTTAATTTTTGATTAGTTAGGATTTGATTTTTTTTTTTCATAATACAAATATGCTAAATTTAACTTTATTATTTACAACCACTTACAGGTACATTATTTTGAAATATGATTTGTTTTGGAACTTTTATCAGAAATATAAACTAAATATTAGTTAGCTATGTGTATGTGGACGTATAATTCAATATAAATGTTACAAAACGAATCACAACCAAAATAGCGTACCAAGTGAATCTATCCCTATTGTACAATATAGTGGAAGAAGTATCGTATAACTTATCCGTATCTATACCATGTACCATAGAAAACCACGATCTAAGTAACTGGTAACAGTGTTCTAATTTAATAACGTACTAAGAAAATGGATGTTATTTTATTCTTGGTGGCCACTAGAGTTTTGTATTATATTTGCTAAAATTCATTGTCTAAGCAAAGACCAAAAGGTGTGTTGATGTCAAAATAAAATTCATAGACATGCCTTCTGAACATGACCTATCTGAGGTGGGAGACTCTTTGAGTTAGGATCATGCATTCCTGAAAATGTACGTATGCTATAAAGTTGTTCTTAAAATGGATCAGTAACAAACCAGGGCTTGCTGTGGTGTGTTCAAGGACTACTTTCAGTTCTAGTTCTGTTTTTGCATTCCATGTTGTATAAAAACCATGGCAGCTGGAAACCTTTCCAGGTAAGGTAAGCATCTATAATAGTTTCTATGATAGCCGTGGCTCAACCTAAGCCAGCTTATATTTTGTTATAGGCATGGTTATTATTTGTTCAACTGTATGTCTAATTTGTATATTTAGACACTTGCATTTGATGCTATTTCTTTATCATATATACAGAGGATGGGTAAGATGCTGGGTCCCATATCGCGATTTAAAGATGTTATTGTGGGTGGCCACCGACGGGGTGCCTCTGTTAGTGGCAGAACCTCAACAGATCGTTAAGATGATGACGAAAAGAGAGAGAGAGATGTTAGGAATTGTGAAATTCTAGTGTGCTTTTGGGTGGTGTAAATGATCTATTTCTCTTATGACTTAGATATAAAGCTACATGTTAATACTTGCATGTTATTATGCCACTATTCTTTTGGTTGTGGGTTCCTTGGTGAAGATTTAAGAAGTCACTCTCTTAGTAAATCTCCTATTAGCATTCTCAAAATCATTGTTATATCTTTTTTGCTTAGATTGAAGCCATCTTCTCAAGCCTTCGGCTTCTTTTACCAGGTTAAATATGTTTCGGGTTTTGTGCGGACTACTAATTTGTTAATTCCGTACATAGATTTATATAGATATGGTTGCATCTTCATTATTATGTCTTTGACAGAAGGAAATGTTAGTTTTAGGCCAAGTTGATTTTTTCATTCAAACACTTTCTGAAATCAGGTAATGAATGATATGCATTCTGTTGAACTTGAACTTGAACTTGGAACTTTCTGCTGCTCCGGCTGTGGTTGCTTTCTTCCGAGTGCCCCTCTCTTCTGTTAGTGTAACGCTCCTATTTTTTGGATGCGTTATTTGATAAATCGATCATAATATATTATAAACATATTTCCAAATATAGAGATAGAGTTTTAATTTCATCAAAATTAAATAATAATAGTCTCCAAAATTTATAAATAGATGTCTTCAAATTGTGTATTACAATAATAAAATTAAGGGAAAATTTTATCCACATTTTTTCTAGTTAGGTCTAAATTTAGTAACACTTTTTATTGATTTTGAAATTTCATTGCACTTTCTTCTGGTTTATACTTTCAAATTAAAAGTATCTCCAATAATTTTTAATTATGTCAGTATAAATAGTAACACTATGCCTTTAAATTTTTTGAAAATGTCAAAATTATCATTTTTTTTTATGTAAGTATACTAAAATATCTTCAACTCTTTTCCTATTATACATACCACACCTTTTGTCGTTTGTGAAGGTCCAAAATGATATGAGGTTGCTGAAAGATATAGGGGACTGAAGCCAGCTATTATTTTTCAGCTCGTTCTCTACAGTGATCGATCATTACTTAAGTTGGTAAAAAAAAATATATATAGTTTTTTTTTGCAAATTTGTAAATTTTTTTCATGCCAATTTTTTAAAATTTTTTTAATCCAAAACACTTGTAAAACTTTTAAGTCACTAAGTCTACTTTCTTATAAATTGTAGGGTTAGATGTGCATTTTTTGATTTCTTATTTTCTTATATTACCTAAGTTCCCCCAGTTGTCTGTTGCATGTAATTTTTTAAAAAATATACAACAGAGGGAACTTAGGTAATATAAGAAAATAAGAAACCGAAAAGTGCATCTCTTATCCAATAATTTATAATAAAATGGACTTAGTGACTTTAAATTAAATTTGAGTAAAAAAGTCTAAAATACTTTCTTCAATCCTTGACTCAAATTTATATCAAATTAAGGAAAACTCATTTTTTTACTCAAATCAAGAGAGATTCAAATTTTTAATGGTGAGATTTTACTATCTTTTAAAAATCCAATGATCATCTTTACTCTCTTTTAAATTTGGGTTTATTCTTATTTTAAATTTGGATATCTCCTTCTTTAAATTTGAGTTTGCTCATTGGATCCATTTGTATCAAATCAAACTTTTTATTCAAATGTTAATTTAAATTTGAATAAAAATTTGAGTCATAATTGAAGATGTTCTTGCTCTCGTTTGAGTGACTTATATGTATTTTTGTTTGTGAGCAACTATTTAATATAATTTACTGATATAATTTGTTAATTCACCGTGACATTTGAATTGATTGTAAACTCTATTAAACATTAAAATTTGATGTTGATTCAATAATTCCTATAAAATTACATTATTATATCAATAAATTATATTAATTTTTTAAATCTAAATAGCATTACTATTTTGTTTTTGCGCATTAATTACATGCAAGTAGGAAACTGTGGACAGCTGAGTGTAATTTGAGCAGCAAAAGTCAATTCATTGCCTGATTTCCTCCAAATGGTCCACGTTTCGCACAGCATAAAGAAGAAAAACAAGATCAATGATGGTTTAAAACTAGTCATCAATGGCCAAATCTGAGCTTTAGAACTAATAAATCTGAACTTAAAAAGATAAAGAAAGCGGCTCTCAGAACAGAAAATCCGAACGACTTACACACCTATATGTCAAAATATTTCATGGGTTGATTTGAAAAATCAAAGAACAATGGGAGTACGTAGTAGATGCAAATCAAGCCTCTCTTTGAATTAGCAGGGATTGCTTTCAGGTGAATCGAAGAGCTGAGGGTCGAGCTTGACCCTACAAACAGGACAAACCGGATTCTTAGAGAGCCATGTATCGGCGCATTGTAGATGATAGCCGTGGTTGCAACTGGGAATAAGTCTTGTTGGCTGGTCGCTCTCGATCTCGTCCAAACACACCGCACACTCCGTAAACATAACCAAATCTTTTCCGGTCATTTTGGGCAGTTTCTCAAGTTCAGACGTCGATAGGCCTTTTTCTTTTGCAGGATTCTCCGGCAACCGAAAATCCGAGATGTTGTAGTTTCTTGCAGCGTACCATAATATGCATATGTAGACGAGGAACACCAAGCCCATTCCGGCGCATGGTAGAAAAAGGGCAAGAAGCACAGACACAAGCATTTTGTTGGTGGTAATCTCGCATTGATCAACAGACAAACAGCCTACGGGGTCGGATGGGAACTGGAAGGAGTAATAGAGGATGGGGTGTAATGCACACCATGGCGCATGGTTAGGTTTCTGCGAAAGTTGGGGGAATATATATGGGGGGCGTTTGGTTGGATGGGATGTACTAGGGTCTGAGGGTACGTGAGCTAAAAAGGAGTTGGTGGGTGAGGTGGTGGTGGCTCTTGTAGGAGGAGACGTGTAATTATTTGGGGGTGGTAAACGGCTATATCGGGAAGGCAACAAAACAGTGTGTTTTTGGTTTTTGCAGCTTTGGGAAGATGACGCATTTTGTGAGAATGCCAAGAAAGGGTAGACTAGAGAAACGGCATTAATGCGTTACCTCAGGTCCTTCATTCCTTACGTAGCTGCAGCGTCAATGGCTAGTTGTTGTTCACCGCATAAATAGGGCAAGAGGTATTATTATTATTGTTTTAATAATTAAGAATATTCGGATAATTTTTTTTCTTGATTTGATCAAAAATAAATTACTTACGTTAAAATTAAAATATTTATGATCGACTGCCAAGAGAATGTCAAAGTTTAAATTTAAAATATATGTATTTATAATTCATTTCTAATACCACGCTGCTTGGGCTTTCCAGATCCGCTAGCGATCATAAAGCACTGCTGTGTGTACTAATATGGAAGCTCTGTGGGCTGTGTCCTGTGGGTGGCTTTGATGGGATTTAAAAGGGTTTTTGGAACATTCCTGGTCGGGTGTAAGCCCATTGACGGAACTACCTTATGGGCAACCACACACAAAGCTTTTAGGTTTTTTAAAATCCTATATCCATCCTAAAGTTATAAAAAAAATAAAAAAATTATATAGATTACGTAATTCAATTAATGTAATAAAAAATCCCAGTAGCCTTCGATAACAAATTGGAGATATTAATCACTTGAATTAGGTTTCTCCTTGAGACAAATGCTTGTATGAGTCTGTGACTAAAAGGAAAAATGAAAGAAAGTTATTTGGTTTACATGAATGACATATATTATAATAATTTATTGTCAATTAATATTATGACAGTATCACAAGAAAATAATATGTACGATTGTTGATCTCAAAAGTTGCATCACAGGTGTGGAAGATGACCTGACAATTGGTGGGGAGTTTCAACAAAAGAAGTTGAAAACCAAAAGAATTTCAGTAGTCGACCCTCTGATGAGTAAAGTCAGAATCAGAATGACAAGGAAATTGTATATAGCTGGAAAAAACGACTTACCTGGTTCTTGACTAATATAACTCTTTTATAGGTGGGCAAAAATGTGCCATTGGAGGGTTCTTGGCTACTTTTTGAATAAGACGGTATAGAAAGTGGAACGTCCCTTTGTGTTTTCTTATGAGGGCTTCGTAACTGGTTTGAGCTAGTTTACGGGCGGTTGGTTGGATATTGAGCTCGGTATGGGAGAATGAGCAGCTAGGTCGTTGTTGGAGTTCTCCCATTAAAAGGCAGAGCTCACGTGCCAAGCTCGAGCGCATGTGCCAGACTTGTGACTAATTTAGCCTCACCAACGATAATATTATTCGCATGCATTGCACTATGTAATGAATAAGGGAATTGATGATGCACAAAAAAATGTTTATGCATTAAGTATTAAATACAATAATAAATTATGAGAGTCAACACAAATAAAACACAATTTAAGTAGTTCGATCAAAATGACTTACTTCACTGTAAATGAAAATGATGGATGAGTGTTTTATTACTAAAGGGGTGCAGAGAGAGTGCTTAAATGTGAGTGAGATGTGAGAAATACACCTTTGTATAGGTGAAGTTTATAATTTATAGGTGTCCCTTAATAGATTGATGCACCTTTCTCGTATCAGGTAAAGTAATTTGGTGGAGGTGACACCTTTCTTGTAACAGGCTATTAGTAATAGTTTGGTAGCCAATTTCATGGAGGTGGTGATATGTGTATCCCAAAGAGATTTCATTGTATGTTAGTTGTGGACTAAGTCTCTTGCCATAATGTGGTTGACCTGACTCTCTCAAGATGACACGATTGATCTGCCTTAACTTCTTCTATTTTTTGGTAGACTTAACCTATATGTTTGAGATGAGTCTGGTTTGTGATTCTAAGTTGTTCCTAATCTAAGTTAGGCTCATCAGTAATGAATGACATATATTTTAAGTATATTTAGTTGTGCTCACTATGTTATTTTTTGTTCTACCATCAATATAGTCTCATACCTAAATAATTATGAATTTTTTAATATAATTTGGACACTTTATGAATACATCTACATAAATATTTTGACATGTCGAACTCAATTTTTTTAGTTACAAAGATTGTAAAAATTAAGTTGGATAATTGAACGAGTGATCAATGATTAATAGTTTGATTGATTATATAAAGATGGACTATATCATCTTTTATTTAGTTTGCCTCATTTGTTATGAAGATATATAATTAACTTTTTTTTTGTATACGTTATATTTATCGACGTTTGATCATTTTGTATTTTATGAATTTGTAAGTATCAAATAAAATAGATAAAATTTAAATATTTTATTTTATTGATCGACAAAAAATTAAAAATTTTAAAGTAA